TGATTTTGAATTTTTTGAATGCTGACAAGCAAACAACAGCTGCTGAGAGAGTGTTGTGGATATTGCTCTGTATGCTGTGAATGTGTTGCTCTGATTGGTTAATAAATGAAGTGCTGATTGGCCAGTAACCAGGCAGGGAGTATAGGCAGGACAAGCAGAGAAGAGAATGCTGAGAACAGGAAGGCTGAGTCAGGAGTCACCAGCCAGACTCAGAGGAAGCAAGATGTAAAAGTACTGGTAAGCCACAAGCCACATGGCAACTTACAGATTAATATAAATGGGTTAATTTAAGATATAATAACTAGATAGCAAGAAGCCTACCATGGCCATGCAGTTTATAAGTAATAGAAGTCTCTGTGTGTTTATTTGGGTCTGAGCGGCTGCAGGAGCCAGGTGGACACAGGAAAACTTCAGTTACAGATGTGGACTTGAAAGAGGGACTGATGAAATACACCAGCCTAGACATTTTTTAAATGCCCTAACCTAAAATGGAAGTAAAAAACGACATTTGTATAATGGAACTTAAAAGATGCATTGCTTTGGAGAATTGGTTCTGCTTTGTTTCCACAGCAAACAAGAGGCTATTGATTCATTCCAGGTTAAGATGAACCAGATTTGATCAAGGGAGAACTGAAACTTGACAGATGATATCTATCAACAAAGGTTATAACGGGTCTTTCCAGGACTTGGCCATTTTCTCAAATTTTCTCAGGATCCCCATAAGATTACCAGCAAACCCAATCAACAGGAAGTAATCTAGAGAACTATGCCCAAATTCGCAAAATATTGATTATGAATGTTTTCATTTAAGGGGGGGTGGGTTAGAAATGGTTAATGTTCATAGTTAATCTCTTCCTAAAGAAGAAAGGTGGATATGATATAGAAACGGTAGGGGTAAAAGTATATTATTATGATAAAAAGGGGTAGATTATTGACTATTTTAATCCAAAAAACAAGTATTCATCTCAAAATACTTTACATTGGTATGGATTTGGGTTTATTAATTCAAACTTAAGGTCAAATTTATTATACTGTATGTATATTTCTACTTTTGTGTAAGGTATTATTTATGAAGCTCATTTAAAAATGTAATACATAATTAAAAATACAGATTAGTGGTTACTCATCTATAATACTCAAACTTATAGCCATATTAGTTAGGTTTTTTTTTTAGATATACAAAGATATATTTCAATTAGATAGATAATCTTCAAACACTTCAAAGACCTACAGAATATCATATTTAAAATGTTTTAAGAACTTAAACTTTTCTCAACAATTAGACACTTCTGCTTCTGGCAGCACCAATAACTCAAAGAGGATGATGGGCATTGAAGAAACTCTTTATGGAGTTTGCTTTCAATGAGGCAAGGCTAGTCATTTGGACAAGAAATTGCTTTTGCCTGGATTGCTTGACAGTATGCTGTATAAACTAGACATGCAGGACCCACAGGAAAACGACTGCTAAAATTTCCCACAACAAAGTATGATGGTCTTTCAGGTTCCTGCTTCACAGAAGAAACTGCCAAACACTTTGCAGGACAAAGAGGAAAGTGACTGATGAGCTTTGCAAATATAGGTGGGACAGTCCTTCAAATACCCTGCTTCCTTAAAAAGTCTGCCAGATACCCTAAGCCTGTAGGCTGAAGATGGATGCCACAACATTGCAGAAGAACTTTGGGTGACTGTCCAACAGCCAGATGTCTCTGTCATTTCTTGAGTTTTGAAAATCGCCTGCTTGTACTTTTTGCTTACTCAGGTAATATTATATCCTTCTGGGGTTTTGATGGAGCTGAAGACTAGATAATTACAATTATAGTTTTCCTTAGTTATGATAAAAGATAAATTAGATCTGAAACTTTAGACTCACAAAGATATGATAGATGATAGAGTATTTTCTTTAATTATGCCGAATACAAATAGACTAAATATTGTAACTGATTCTTACTTGATAATTGCTTTTTTATTCAGAAAATTTTTTATTCATTCTACATACCAATCAAAGATCACCCTCTTCCCTCCTCCCATCTCTCCAGACTCCCCCTCCCAACACAGACCCCAATCCCTTCTATAAATACGTAAGGCCTCCCATGAGGAGGTACATTTAGTAGAGGCAGGTCAAAGCCCTTCCCCCTGCCTCAAGGCTGTGTGAAGTGTCCCATCATAGGTAGTGGGCTCTGAAAATCCTGCCCATGCACAAGGGATAGATTCTGATCCTACTACCATGGGGCCTCTTACGCACATCAAGCTACACAGCTGTTTCACCATGCAGAGGGCCTAGTCTAGTCCCATACAGGCTTCACAGCTGTTGATCTAAATTTCATGAGTTCCCATTAGTTTGGTTTGGTTGTCTCTGTAGGTTTCTCCATCATGATCTTGTTATCCTTGCTCATAGAATTACTCTTCTCTCTCTTCGACTGGACTCCTGGTGCTCACCCTGGTGTTTGATTGTGGGTTTCTGCATCTGCTTCCATCAGTTATTGGAGAAAGGCTCTATGATGACAGTTAAGGTATTCACTGATCTGATTACTGGGGTAAGCCAGTTCAGGCACCCTCTCCACTATTGCTAGTAGTCTAAGCTGAGGTCATCCTTGGGGATTCCTGAGCACTTCCCTAGCACCTGGTTTCTCCCTATCCCCCTGATATCTCCCTCTATCATGGTATCTCTTTCATTGCTTTCCCACTTCATCCCTGTTCCAGCTCGACCATCCCATTCCCTTATGTTCTCATCCCCCATCCCCTACCCTCTATTGCCCACCCTGCATCCCCAGTTTACTCATGAAGATCTTATCTATTTCCCCTTCCCATAGTTTTATTGTATATAATTTTACTATGTTAAAGTTAAAACCTTCCTTTTTGATTAGACAGAAAGGGGGAAATGCTGTGGGATGTTCTTTCTGTATGCTGTGAATATGTGCTGCTCTCATTGATTGATAAATAAAGCTGACATGGCCTATAGCCAGGCAGCATATAGCTAGGATGGAAAGCCAAACAGAATACAGAGAGATAGGAGGGTGGAGTGGAGGCAGATACCAGTAATTGCCCAAGAAGCAAGATGCCAGAGCTCTGGTAAGCAACAGGTCACATGGTGATACACAGATTAATAGGAATGCATTAATTTAAATGTAAGAACACCTAGTAATAAGCCTGAGCCACTGGCAAAACATTTATAATTACTATAATCCTTTGAGTGATTATTTGCAAGTGGCTATGGAATATAGTGAAACAGATAAACCTCTGTTTACACATTCTCTTAGTAAATTTAGTTTCATAATTTAAATCTTAGCATGTATGTATCATTAACAGTTAGTTGTGTTTCTTGGAGAAAACAGACAGTTGGTTATAGTTTTTTAACGTAGTAAAAACAGTATGTGTATCATTCTTGCTGAATTGGGGTCACATAAGTTCATTAATTAATGCTTATAAATTTCTATAATTTTCTTGGTGTTTCTTGATGTATTGGATTGTTGTTCGTTTGTTTTTTTTTCTTCTATTCCTCAACTATGTTGGAGTTTCTGGCTTATAGCGTTGGACATACTGATATCTCCTTTCCTGATAACCATTTTTTATTTATTCCTCTTTTGATATTATCATTTTGTCTGTATTCTCATGATTGAGATGATCTTTCTTTTTCGCTGTGCATAATATTTTATAATATCTTCTGCAGTGCTGTCTTTATGGTCATGAAATGCCTTAGTTTGTGATTTGCTTGTAATGTCCTTATTTCTCTCTCACTTTAAATATGATTTTTCAGGACATAGCAAACTTATTTGGCAATGACCTAATATAAGTGTCTGAAACACATTGTTCCATGCTTTTCTGGTCCTTAAGGTTTTGAATGAGAGTTCAGGTTGTTACATTAAAATTTTAATTTAACATTTCAGTTGTGGTTATCCCTTGTTCGCTTATTTTTGCCATATTGCTGATTGTTTTATCCATCTTGTTTATGTTTGCCTATATGTCACTATCCTTCCTCCCTACATTTTTGATTGAATAAATTTTTTGTTTATATCTTTTGTGGTAATTCACCAGTTTATGAGTAGGTTTTGGAAATCTTCACCCAACATTTTACCTATTTCAGATCTTTGAGTTGAATCATGATCCTTAGGGGACATAATTTTTGGTTCGATTTTTTATGATTCTGTGTTTCTGTGTTGTTATTCATATCTTTTGTTTAAGTACCTCTTTTGGTTTATTTGAAGCTTTTCTAAATTTAGCAACCTACACGCAAGGGTTCACTGCCCAGAATCACTCAGCTTTAAGGAACTGGGAGATCGCCAACAATTTTATGTAGTCTGTATCACACTTGTTCCCTGCCATATCTCCAAAATAGTTGCTCAGTAAGTTTCTTAATCAGAATATGGACATGATTAGTTGTCACATTTTTTACATTGAAGCACATTGTATCCCCCCTACAAACATTAAGCTTTATTAATTGATATGAAGTGTAAAGACTGGAAGGCAGAATCTGCTGACAAAGAACTATATCCAACATTAGAGTGAAGAGAGGTTTCTCAGTCTCCACAATAGGAAATCAGATATGGAGACTTGAGACAGAGATGTGGCCTGAGAAACAAGTGCAAGAAATACTACATTTTCCCTCCTTTGCAGATCCTAAGTATCTGGATTCTAAGTATGTAAGTTCATGTGTGTATATATGGCTATGTATATTTCCTTATGCATTCATGAGTGCATACATGTGTATGTATGTATATGTAGTGTGTATATATGTGTATTATGTGAATATGTGTTTATTTGTGTGTACATGTATGCATAAGTGTGTATGTGAATGTGGGTGCATGTGGGTGCATGGGGGGGTGAGCATGGGTGTATGTGTATGACAGACAAAGATAAAAGTAGAAGATAGACTGGGGAAGAAAATATAGCAGGAAAGGGAAGGGGAAATGGGGAAGATTAACACATAAGTTCAAAATATATGATATACTGGAAAAACATTGCTTTTAAGAAAATTGTGCACAATAAATTTACTTCAATAGAAAAATTTAATGGGCGGCAAGATGGCTCACATGCCAAAGACACTGGTCACCAAGTCTGATGTAAAACATGAGTTTGATCCTCAGAATTCAAATGACCAAGATAATCAAGTTCAAGCTGTCCTCTGACCTCCACAACTATGCCATGTCAAATTTGAACCTAGAAACATGCACACATATACACAGACACTCAAATGTATACTCACATGAACAGAGAAAAAAGTACTTAATTAACTAAAATGTAATAAAAAGTAAAAGATAAAAACAGAAGAATCAGATATGAGTAAGGAAGTAAGAAAGCCCTCCAGAAACTAGAAAAAAATAGGAAACACTCTTTCCAGAGCCTCCAAACATAAACACAGTTTGCCATCATCATCACTTCAGCCTATAGACTCTTATGATGGACACCAGAACTCCAGAACTATAAAAAGATAAATCCCTCATAGTCAAACAACAGAGTTTGTAGTAATGTGTTACAGAAGGAATAGAAAGATAATCCTGAGTTCTCCTTTGCATTCTGTATAAAGGCTTTTCATACCAGAAGACATAAGAAACATTAAAGCCATTATTTTTTTCTGGGCTCTGCAAACTTTTTCATCAATGTTTCAGGCTCACTGGCTCTCAGGCAGAAAGGGGAAGTGTGCAGGTCCAGGGCTGTGTGTGGTGCATGCAGCTGGTGAGACTCTCAGAGGAGGTTTTTGTTGGAGGCTGAGGCACTGTGGGAGGATGGTAATAATGCTGCATACAGTAGTAATCTGCCAGATCTTCAGCCTGGACACTGCTGATGGTGAGAATGAAATCTGTCCCAGACCCACTGCCTGTGAAGCGATCAGGGACCCCAGTGTCCCGAGTGGATGCCCAGTAGATCAGCAGTTTAGGAGACTGCGCTGGTTTCTGCTGGTACCAGGCTAAGTAGTTCTTCTTGTTTTCACTGTAAAAAAGATTCTGACTGGACTTGCAGCTGATGGTGACCTTCTCTCCTGCTGATACAGCCAGGGAGGATGGAGACTGTGTCATCACAGTGTCTGCACAGGCACCTGCAGCAGGAATACATAAAGAAAATGAATAATATGTAAACAAAGAATGTAGTAACAGTTGAAATTTGTCACTTTATTCCCTTGTAATGTCATGTTGTCAGAGTGTATAACTTACACAATAGAGTAAAAACTGTTATGTCCTAACACACATTGTAAATTTCTTATATACAAAGAAGTGAGTCTAAAAAGATTATAATACTTTTGAATTTCTCACCAGATACCCAGAGGAGCAGGAACATGAGGACCTGGGTCTGTGATTCCATCTTTCTCCCCCTGCTGTCTAATGCTTCTCAGTTCTCACCCCAAAGGCTTGGTTTATAAATTCTGAGCAGCTGGAATGGACTGGAGGGGCCCATGCAAAGCAGTCAGCAAATACATAAGGAAATATTTGAACAGTGTGTGTGAGTGGATGGTGTCAATGAACAGACAAAAATACCATCACAGGGAGTGTGAGCAATCAGTAAAAGGTATAAGCTTACCACTCTCAAACAGAAATCTATTAGGTGCTCTAATAACAACTTTGGGCTAAAACCCAAGACATATTTAAATCAGTTTGCTTTTGAAGAAATGTTAGGAAAGCTATCTCAGATTAACAGTACTAGGGAAGTGATAAAATGTGTTTAAAAAGTCACAACAGCAAAATAAACTTAGAGTAAGTAAACATGCAATAAAAGAAAGGAAAAGTGTTGGGAGGAAAAGAGGAAAGGCAAGAAATATATATACAGAGAGAGAATTGAGGCTAAAAGTATTTATCATCTTCTATCTGTAAAGCCACTCTTATACTGAGGACAATGAATATTGGGCTCCAGTTTCTGAACTAAACAAGGGACTGAGATACAAAGAGCAGTCCAGAATTCACTCTGTGGAAATCCTGGGGAACATTAAGATTGAGATGAGAGAAGCTTTAATCTCAAAGCAAAGGTAACCCCAGCAGAAACTAACAAGCATCTACCCCACAACTCCGGGAATTGAAACAGGACTCTAAATTTTGGGAACTGGAAGGGGAACAAAACAAGCTGTATTTCTTCAAAAAGTCATGTCTGTAGACCAACACTGCCAAGAGTGTTTGCTCCAGAAATATATATTCTAGAGTAATCTAGAAATTAGCAGTATTGAAATTGGCTGAAAATAGTCTTGTTAACATGGTGAACTGGTAAAAACCTCTCCAGAAGGGCACACAGCCATCCTAAATCAAGTAATAATTTTACAGAGACCAATAGACCACACCATCAGAGAGGGTTGCCATCCAAGGGGGAAAAATGTTTGAGTATGAATGGAAATCAATAGCAATAACAGAAATCACAGATCATGCCTTCTGACTTCAGACTGGTGAACTCTAAAAGTATATAAGAAGCAAATTATAAACCAAGCATTATGTGTAAAGTGCAAGAAATAGAAAAATAAATACATTATATATCATGGCAAAGAGTAGAGATTCAGATCTGTAATCTCAGACCTGAAGAGACAGAAGCAGGAGGCTTATGTGTTTGAGGCCAGCCTAGGGTATAAGTTCTAGGTCAGTCTAATCCATGCATGGAGACAATCTCTCAGAAGTGTGCATCATTAATGAAGTAATTACAAAGCAGCTCTTGGCATTTGATGTACAAAGCATTTATCTGATGTTAAGGTTATACCATTAAGCCAAGAATATTACTGAAAATTAAATATCCATTTAAGAAATATGCATTCCCTTTTATTTTGAATTAAATATATAATTTCACAATCCACTTTATAGGTATAAAATGTTAGATTACTTCTGATGAGCATTTTCAGCTCTCCTCTGTCAACTGCTAACACACCACCATATGAGACAGACACTGTGTGAATTAAGGAAGTTCCCAACCTCAAGGTCAGGAATATGGCAGATGAGTAACTCTGCCCTGTCAGTGTCTAACAAGATGTCATGTGCTCTCAATCTTTGCTAAACTTTGTAATTTGCTTTGTGACAGCTGTAGTGAGCTCAGATTGCGCTTTCATGTCATTTACTGCTGCTCATTCAGATTGGACACATGGAGACTGGGGTCTTACAAATTCAAAGTCTCCTGTAGTTAATTGTGTGCTTCTCGCAGTGTGTAAAGGGAGAGTATGGGGACTAAAAGGACAAAATTCCATGTTATATCTTGTATAATATAAAAATCCCTACAGTCCTTAGTTATTTATCAAGTTTCCATAGTATGTCCTCATGCATTAGATTCCATGGGCTGTGATTAAAAAATGGATTAAAACCCATCTGGCTAAAAACTATACCAATTAATTTTCTCCCAGCTTTGGAACCAGAGAGTCTGAAGTTGATAACCTTGAGCTCCTGGACAAAGTATTTTCTTCCATAGACACCACTGAGGATGGAGGCCCAGAGAATGTGATTCTAAAATGCAAACTATCCTGGAACAATACAACGCTGAACTCAAGTTTTTTTTCCAGCACATAAAATTTTTATTAGCTGGATGAATATCTGTGGTTACCCAAAATCTGTGAAATGAAATAATAGACACAAGAAGATTTTCAATAACTCAGATAAAACATTAAAATACTATTCTTTGTTGAAGTCAGCAATGGTATACCTGAAGTGTAGGAGTTTATTATTGCATTAAAGATACAGTAGGTTCTTCTTCAGAATGGTAGCCATAAATAAAATCTACCCTACTTAAGGAGTCTAGAGTGCTGCTTCTCTCAGTAGGGCCTGTGCAGATCTCTGAGTCTATGTGAGAGGACTATGGAGGAGAACTTGAAGCAGCCTGTCATAACTGAGGGCTCTTTGCCACCCATTCCAAGATATGATATGATAAAGCCATTATTGACCCTTCGGCTTCAACAGCCATGGAGGACACACCTATATATATATAGGTGATATGAGTATCTTCTTTTTTATATTTTTATTTTTTGTGTCTATTGGTCTTTTTGACTGAATGTATGTCTGTGCAGGATGTCTGTGCCTAAAGAAACCAGAAGAAGGAGTCAGGTCCCCTGGAATTGGAGTTTGTGAGCCACCATGTGTATGTTGGAGTTTAACCCAGATCCTCTAGAAGAGCAGCCAGTGAGTTCTCTTAACCAATGACACATCTATCCATACCCACAAATGCCTTTTAAGTAAATAGACATGGTGGAGAATGAGGAAGATCCCTAAAAAAAAAAAAAAAAAGAACTGTGTGCTGCTGAAGGCTTGGACTCAAAGAGGGGGCAGCAGAAAGAGGCAGATATGTAAATACTTTCTAAAGGCTCCTTGTGCCTTGCAAAACTGTTCTTCTCTGAAACTGAGATGGAAAGGAACTTGTTTTCACATGAAAATGACTTCATTTGAAATGAGTAGTAACAGAACATCATGAGAACAACTCAGGGTTTGTGTTTAATCTTGCTTTTATCACTTCTTAGTTCAGGACTCCTTGTGGATATCATGATGATGCAGAATCCAGTTTTCCTCTCCATCTTTACTGGAGAGCTGGACTTCATTTCAGAAAGAACCATGTCAGTAAAGACATCACTTCCAGGCTTATAGTGATGTGTCTTTGTCTCTTTTTGTTGCTGTGATAAAACTCCTACAAAAGCAAGTTAAGGAGCCTTTTCCCCTTACTTGGGAACATAGATTGTTTGGGAACACAGTTAAAGCATACAGCCTATAGTAGTGTGGAAGAAAGAATGACAGGAACTTGAGGCAGCTGCTCACAACTGAGAACCAGAGAGTACAGGATGCTAGAGTTCAGCTCAATATCTCCATTTTGTGGAGGTCAAGATCTCTATGTGGGTGTGGTCTTGCCAACAGTTGAAAGGGTTTTGCTACATTGATTCCCCTAATGAGGATGATCCTTCACAGACATTGCCAGAGGCTAATCTTAATCTATACATCTCACAAGTGTGATCAGAGGCTTAGCTCCTAGATGATTCTAGATTCTATCACATTGATGACTGATACCAATTATTGTGGTCCCAATGCTAACACAATTTCAGTGAGGGAGTGGTATGTCATGGATGTCTCTTATTATGTTTTTTTCCATATTTGTAAAAAAAATGTTTATATATAATTGTACAAATTCATTAGGAAAAACTGTGTGATGTTTCAAAAAAGTATGTACATATGTATGCATACATGTATATTCAAATAATAGCATATATACTACATCAAGCATTTACCTTAAAGTACATGAATAAAAGTCATTTAGCATATTGAATTATGTACCATTGGCAACTATAGTCACTTTACCAATAGACCACCACCAGGATTCAATCCTTCTCCTTTTAACTTTCTATTCCTTTGTTTAGGCTCCTTTTATTTTCTATAATGATGCTCCCCAAATGTACTTACATGCCAGCACACATTCTCACTCAGTCCACCAGAGCATTGATGACCTTCCAAAAAAGGACTCTGCCCTAATCATATATCTCACAACGTATTTAGAGAAACGGCCACTCTAGAGAGACCCTGCAGGCATGAGAAGAGAGAGGCTGAACAAAAGACAAAGGACCCTGGGAAGATTACAAAGAAAAGCAAGGAAGGGAATTCAAGGCTCATGTCTCTGACATGCAGAAGTTACATTTACTGCTGCATTGTAGAAGAAGAATCCTCTGAGAAGGTGAGTTTCCTCTGCCTCTCTGACCAAGCCACATTCCCCGAAGTACCCCATACTATATGACCCACCAGTACACCTAGCTTTTGGTTAGTAGTTGAGCTTGTGTTCACTTCTGGTCTTGTCCACACATAGCTTCTAGCAATCATCAGAACACTTCAATGTTTTCTTTCTTCCCTGCTTCTGAAGGAGAATTATGTCTTGTTATCTTGTGAATCTCTGTAACCGCCTGTGTCTGTAATCTTGGATACTGGCCTGTGATCTGTGACCTCCTTTCTCCTGTGGGTCTAAACAGAGTTGATGATTTTACAGTTTGTTCAATCTCTTCCTTTTTGTTAACTTGGAGTGGCCTATTCTAGGTACCCCACATGCAGAAATAGAAACTTCAAGGCTCTGTTCCATTAACTTTTCTCAACTGAATATACTACTTCATTGATTTCTCACACTGAACTTGGAATATATGAGTATGTGGCTATGTATGTTCTGTAGATGGGCTTATATGTTTTGTGTGAGCATAATTATTCCTGTAGCTGTTGGCTACTCAGAGTGAGCATAAGTCATGGTGTCTGATTTTCATGAGGCATTCAGTCTCTTCAAACACACTTCCATTTGCTCTTGATTACTAGTTTTAATTTTTTTTATTTTGTAATACAGTTCAGTTCTACATATCAGCCATGGATTCCCTTGTTGTCGCCCCTCCCGCC